GCTGCGACGACTCTAGTGTAGCAAGTCCGTCGGGGGGGGGGGGGGCTTAGAGTGCGTGCGAGGCCGGTGCCTCCCGCGCCCGTGCATGGAGCGCGGCAGTAACTGCGACGCGTGCAGTGACTGCGACGCGTGCCTGCATCCGGTAGTGCATCGACTCCTCCATGAACTTTCGCTTCCCGCCAAACGAGTCCGCCTCGTTGATCGGGATGCAAAAGTCGAGATAGTAGCGCGTGTGCACCACGTGCGCCGCGTCCGACCTGACTAGGGGCGCGCCTTTCTCGCGGACCTCTCTCGCGAAACTCTCTCCCTCCGTGGGGTGCGGGGCGAGAGGGTGTGGCGAGAGAGGTGCGGAAGCCGCCACGAGGCACTCTGCGCACACACCAGCCGCAGGTACGCGTTAGCGGCACGCTCGAATCGCCAGAGTAATTTGCGATGAAGCCGTCGAAGCCTTTGGCGATGTTTGCCCGCACGTTGAGGCGCACCTGCTTGATGGCGGCGTTCCGGCGCATTGTCTGCAGCAAGCCGGCCGCGTCGAACGCTCGGGCGAGCACAAAGTCGTGCTGCGGGACGGTAGGCGATCCTTAGTGGTCTGCGGTTGTGTGGGCCCGCTCCCGTCTCTGACCTGAAGGACGAGCATAAAGGTGGTGTTCACGTTGCGCACTGCCGCCGCCAGGTTGTGCGCAGCAAACAGAAAGGTGCGGCTGCGGTAGATGGCAGTGTGCGCGAAGTCGGCGTGCTGACTCGCCAGCTCCCGCACCCGCGCCTCGAAGGCGTCATAGTCTTGCACGCGCCGTGGTGCGAGCTGCCGCTGCGGCCCGTCAAACTGAACCAGCTTTCGTGCACGTGGCAGCCCTTTGACGAGAGCGAAAGAAGCGAACACGGCCCTGATTGTATCGGTCGAAGGGTTGGACGGCACCGGGCTCGTCGGAACAACGATGGTGAGGTTCGACCACCAGCCCATTGCTGAGGCGGCGCGCGCCGCGTAGAATTTCTTTTTCACCGGTGTTTGGAGGAGTTCTCACAGCTGGGACGACGGCAAGAAACCAAGGGCGAATATTTTTTATATGTTGGGGGTGCACAGGTCGCGTAGTCGAGCGATTCGGAGCTCTTGGACGACCCCCCGCCTCCCCCTTCCCCGGAACCCCACCGCTGCGGCCAACGTGCCGCGCGCTCGCGCCTGCGCCACCCAGCGCGCCACAGGAGAGCGCGGCGACGGCGCCGGATAGGGGTCTGTCCATACTCTCGCGGAGCTCCCAGATAGGCGGGCTCCGCTCTGGTCGGCTCAGCGCGAGAACCAGCTGCCCCACGTCGACCCCTTTTGCTGCTGCAGCCGCGGGCCGAGGTCGGGGTACGTGATCTGGTTGCGGGCAATGTCGAAAAGGAGCGGCTTGCAAGGCACCGGCTCGAGCCTACGCACAGCCAGAGACGCGTCCAGGGCCGCGACCCCCCTCCCCCCCCCCCCCACGGCCCCGAAAGCGCACCGCGGCGGGAACTCGTACAGCGGCTCGGCGGGCTTCGCGTCGAAGCGGTCAAGTGGCTGCAGCAGCGGCGGCGGGCCTGTGGCGGGTTGGCCGGGCGTGCTCAGGGACTCTCTCTGGGGCGAGACCTCGGGAGAGTGACGCGCGCCGCCGGCGCCGTCCGCCTCCGCCGGCGCCTCGCCCGCCGCCTCGAGCGACGCAAGGTAGGCCCGTGCCCTCGCCCTCGCCTGGTGGCGGCGCCATCGACGCGTCGGGGACGTGTCATGCACGCCTCCTCCGACCCGTCCCTCCCCCCCGCCTCGCGCCTTTGCGCCCTCGACAGCCTCGGCGAGCGCGGCGAGCGCCGCCGCGTCCTCCCCCTGCCCGAAGCCGCCGCAGTCGGCCGAGGGGGCGCCGAGCTCGTCGGCGGCGCCGCCCTGCGCGGCGTCGTCGTCGAGGAGCGCCTCCGCCTCGGAGAGGAGCGCAGCCGCCTGGAGGGGGGACGCCGCCGACGAGGTGTCGCCCAGGGGAGGGGGCACCCCTCGGCCTCGCCCCTCGGCCTCGCCCCTTGGCCTCCCCCCTCGGCCTCGCCCCTCGCCTCGCCCATCGGCCTTCCCCTCGGCCTTCCCCTCGGCCTCGCCCCTCGCCTCGCCCCTTGGCCTCCCCTCTCGGCTACGTCCCGCCCGCTCGTACAGCGCCTCCGCCTCGCGCCACTTTGAGACGGCGCCGTACGACTCGGCGACCCAATAGCAGCGGTGCGCCTAATTAATAGTTAATTAATAGTTAATTAATAGTTAAGTAATAGTTAATTAATAGTTAATTAGTTGCGACCCAGTAGCAGCGGTGCGCCTTGGCAACGTTAATTAACTATTAATTAACTATTAATTAACTATTGATTAGACCCAGTAGCAGCGGTGCGCCTTGGCAACGGCCGAACGCGCCGCCAGCTGGCCCATGAGCGCCTCGTTCTCCTTGTAGCCGTGGAGCGACCGCATCTCGTCCAGAGTGGCGAGCACGGCGTCGTACAGCCGCACCTGCGCCGTGGCGCGGAGAGCCTCGGCGCGGGCCGCAGCAGGGGCGGCGGGGCGCAGCAGGGGCGGCGGGCCGCAGCAGGGGCGGCGGGGCGGCGGGGCTCGGCGAGGGCGCGATGGGGTCGCACTCCGTGGGCGTGCCGTGGGCCGTGGGCGGGGGGCGGGAAGGGGAGGGGGGGGGCGGTAGGAAGGGGGGGAGGGGGGCGGACCAGGTCTTCGGGCGTGGCTCGCTTGCGGCTGCCGGCCGGCCCCTTGCCCTCGCGCAGCCGTCCGAGGAGGAGGAGGTTGCGGCGCGCCTGTTGGCGATCACCGAGTCGGCCACTACGTCACCTCTGGCGGCCGAGCAAAGAGGAGCGCTGTGCGACGACCGTGTGGTGCAGCTTTTGCCACAGCAGCGCGGCCTGCAGCGTGAGCAAGCTCGCCTCGGCCGCGCCCGACTTCGCGCTCTGCTCGCGCTTCTTGGTCTCGCGCAGCTCGAGCCGCACCTAAAGAACAGTTCATGAATAGTTCATTAATAGTTCATTGGTGTCGCGCAGCTCGAGCCGCACCGAGTCGAGCGCGTCGTTGCACGCGACGAAGAGCTTGTCGTACAGCGCGAGCAAGTCGTCGCCCTTGTCTGCCTTGTCCCCCGCCTGAGAGGCGGCGGCGGCGGCGGCGGCGGCATCAGATGCCCCGCGCTGCCTGGCTTCTGGTCCCGCCTCGTCTCCTCTAGCGGGGCTCGCGCGCCTCCTTGCCGCCGCCCTCCTCGCAGCGCTGCACCTCGAGGAGCGCCTGCAGGCAAGCGATGCAGGCAAGCGATGCAGGCAAGCGATGCAGGCAAGCGACTCCCACGCGGCTCCGGGGGGTGTGAAGGACACTTGCGGCGCGGCTGCGGCGCGGGTGCGGGGGCCTGCTGGACTGCCGAGTAGCCGAGGCGCGTCTTGTCGGTCCGGAGGGGGATGCGCTCGCCTGGGGGGAGGGGGAGGGGGAGGGGGAGGGGGAGGGGGAGGGGGGGAGGGGCAGAAGGAGGGCGACGGGGAGAGAGGAGGAGGAAGGGGGAGGAGGGGGGGGGGGGGGGGGAAGTCCGGAAAAAAAACCGGGAAAGGCCACCCCCGGGGGGGGGGGGGGGGGGGGAAAA